CATTTCCGGCCTGCGATGCGGATTTCGCCTTCCCATTGTTGCGGGACTTGTTGTTGCTTCGCAGCTGGACAACAGCCACCTGATCTCCGTCACTTAATGTTGGAGTGGCTGCTGGGTTATCTCCATTGTCCTGCTGGACTGCAGCAAAGTGCTGCTGTCGCGGACCAATTCGTACCTTCGCCACATAGGTCGGCTGCCATGATGTTGATTTCTCGTGTGCAGCTGACCTATTGGTCTTGATGATCTCCCTCGCTTTGTCAATGATCTCCGCGAAGGTTGAGTACTGCTCGCGATCACCAAGAGCCTGACTCAATGCCGCACAGGACCTGTTGTAGAACTCACGGCGTAGATGATCGAATGGTAGGTTCAGATTGGGCACAGCCGCAATCTTCTGCCACTTCGTGAGCCAGTCCCATGTTGCTGTGTTGCCCTGTGACATGGTGAACAAACGGTTGATGGCGAGTGCCGGCGCGCCGTCGACGATGAACCGCTTCTTCCACAGCCGTGTCAGTTCCTCCCATGTGATTACGTCCTTCAAGTCTGGTACGTCGACGCCGTGGGAGGTTGCCAGGTGGCTCAACCAGGTCTGGGATCCGCCCTTTGAGTTCAGGAACAGGGCGTCGATGTACGCATGCTTGGTTACTTGCAGAATCCTGAGTTGCGTTGTGAATGCTTCCCACCAGAGGACGGGATCCTGCTGCGTGTAGTCGTCGAACCTCTCCAGGTTGAAAGTTGGCATCTTGTACATCTTCGGATTGTCGTCCGCGTTCGTCGACTGTAGCTTCTGGACCTCGGTCTTCAATGTATGCAGCTGACTGCTGATGGTGGTGGTCGGCGCAGCGAAGGTGCTGATGTCGCCGAGCATTGCCACTACGTGGTCAACGCGGTCCTCCAGTTGGCGGCTTGAGGGTGCACTGCTGGAAGCTCCAGCAGCTGGTCCTGGTACTTCCTGTTCCAGGTCCAACAATCGGGCATTGAGTGCCCGAGTTGCATCCTCGTGGCTCTGCACTGTGCGGCGGAGCGTCGCCAATTCCTGATGCTGTCTCTCCAACTCTGACCTTTGGTAGTTGCAAGCATACAACAACCGCGTCACGAGTTTGGAGAGGAACTCCTTGTGCTTTTCTTCCGGTGTTGTGTCGTCGCCGTTCGGTTGAAAATGCCAGTACTTGAGTCTGTCGATGCTGTTGGCTTCATGCCGCTGCAGCAGATCCTGGGCGTCCTTTGGCGAGCCTGGGCATCTGCTTCTGCATCGGCCTGTAGCCGCAGTTTCTCTGCTGCTGCTGCCTCTTCAGCTTGTATGCGGGCAGCCTCGACTGCTAGCAGACGTTGTTCCTCAGCCTCTATCTGAGCGAGGCAACGCTGATTGTAAGCGGCAATGGTCTCATTGGCCAGCTGGCCTGGCAGGCCCGTCATGTTGTTGACGTGGCAATGCTGCTTACGTGGCACTGCTGATGTGGCACTTCGTCTTACGTGGTACTGCTGACGTGGCACTGCTGACGTGGCACTGTGTTGAACGCCACTGCTGACGTGGCACTGTGTCTGACGTGGCACTGTGTTGAACGTCACTGCTGACGTGGCACTGTGTCTGACGTGGCAGTGCTTACGTGGCACTCTATGTCTAACGTGGCAATGTGACCTGGCACTGCGGACGTGGCACTGCTGATCTGGCACTGTGACGTGGCACTGCTGACATGGCACTGTGACTTGGCACTGTGACTTGGCACTGTGACTTGGCACTGCTGACGTGGCACCGCTGATCTGGTACTGCTGATGTGGCACTGTATCGAAACGGGATGCATGCAAGGGGTGGGTGGGAGGGAAAAC